CGCGATGCACATGTACGATGCGTGTACTTAGGATCAATGACACAACGGCATTTCATGGTGTAACGTATGCGTAACAGAATCCTATCCGGCAAGGGGACTAAATTGCTAAAGATATATCCCTTTCCCCCGAGAGGAGATGATTCGACTGGGACTAGTTACACTTTAGCTGGACTCGACCGAGCTCACGTTGAGCCGCACATCATCCATCGCGATCTCCTCACACGAGTGCATGAGCAATGTGCGTATAACATGCGTGTACGCCTGTCTACATGACATGCGTATTAGGAAACACGTAAACTCATCCCGAGAGGATTGCGCAGTTCCAGTTCGAACTCATTTCTAATGCGACAAATGCATCTTATAGATTACCACGGTTAGCGATCGCTATAAGAATTAACTCTCACAAAATATGAATGTATATTTTGAAAATGAGATATATACTGATTAAAATTTAAAAAATATCTATTTATATGAAACATTTTTTCTTATGTAATTTAGTATCGTTAAATTGTATTAAATAAGAAATGACTTTTTCAATTAATCGATTAATGGAAATAACTTTGAAGTGTTTGTTTTGATGATAAATTTAATTAAATATTAATTAATTGGTGTTTGATTCCGATAAATATGATGAATCAGTAAATAATAACATTTTCATGTTATTTCCTCATTTCCTTAAAACATAAAGAAGTGAGGAAATAACATATGAAAATGTTGTTATCTACTGGTTCATAATATTTATCGAAATCAAACATCAATTAATTAATATTTAATTAAATTTATCAAAACAAACACTTCAAAATTATTTTCCATTAATCGATTAATTGGAAAAGCCATTTCTTATAATACAATTTAACAATATTACATAAAAAAAATTTTTCATATAAATAGATATTTTTTGATCAGTATATATTTTATTTTCAATATATTCATATACAAATTATATTTATTAAAGTTTATTTAACTTAAAAAAATTTACAATATTAAATTTTATAATATAAATTTTTTTAATTGAAAAGTTTTAAAATTTAATTTGAATTAAAAATTTCAATTAAAAATTTTTTTTTATTTTGGTGAATAGATAGTAGATGTGATGTGGTATGAGGTATGTGTATCGCGCTCACATACACACACAAATAAAATTTAAAATTATGTTTTAGATTGTAATCTACAGAAAAATGTATAGATAGCAAAAAATTAAATAACGCGGGCCTGTGTTTTAGTATGATAAACTTGTACCGCACAAAATGTAAATATTCCTAACACATGTATCCTGTACTGAGATACAACTGGCGTTTCCCCAGGAAAGTTTCGAGTAATGTTTATTTTAACGTGAATTTAACTCCTCAAAGCACGCGGTGCGTTGCATACAATAGAAATCTTGGAGACACGCTGGCAAATGAACAAGTACATTCCAAGGAATTCGACCGCAAGCTTAATTGCGGAGACGTTTCTCGTTGAGGAGGATAGCACGAACAAGAAAGATGATTCTCCCCGCAAGGAAGATGGAGTCGAAATGCAGTGAGAGACGGTCTCATTCGCGGCATCAACTGCAGCGTGCCGCTCGCAACATTTCCCCGGTGACTCAACATGCACGCTGGAATTTTCCTTTAAATCAACTTCCTTTCTCGTTTCGCAATTGTTGAATACTTCGCGTAATGTGTGCACGATAACGTATTTCACCGTCTTACACCGTACACCCATGGGACGGCCGTGCGTATATTATACGTGACGCTTCGGTGTGAATAAAGGTGACAAGATTGCACCCTGTAAAACGATCGATGAGCGGATAAAGGCGAATTTATTGCGGTGGCACGATGTCTGCGGTATTCACCTTCGGATTCGAAGTGGAATCGATCATATGCGACTGCATCCCCTGCGTTGTATACGGCTTTCCGCATTAATACTTTAGACGCTCCACGATTTGTCTTTGCCCGCTGTATCGGTTTGCACGCGGCACAATAGCGGTACACTGTTTGCCGCTTTTATGCAATTTAATGTATCACCCTTTATGTTCCGATGTGTGCCTGGTAGAGAAATAACACGGTCCGCCGTTCTCTCCACTTCGCTACATAAATATCAAAAAATGGCGAATCTATTAGCCACTTTACGTAAACGATCGCCATCTACCTCTACTTCTAGTATTTTTACTTCCATTTCTCTCTACGTATCAATGGAATATATAATTCATCGTACTCTTATCATCAGTCATCGATAAGCATTACGAACAATGAATTGCCCGTTAAAGTATCATGCATATAGCTAATGGAATTGCTATGCCGACCTTCGCAAGGCGATTTACTCTCGTTCGATCATCCTATTCAGTCATCCCATCAGCTATCCGCGTGAGTACATCGCTCAAGCGCCGATTACCTCTCACTTGCAAAAGCACCCTCTCGTACGAATTAACTAGAATCGCAGCGTGCGAATACGTCGAGTACATAATGTACTCGCGTGGATACATACGGAATCTCGATAGATATAAAAGGTCGACGTAACAGCTCCTCCGTATAGACGTGGGAAGGGGAGGTTTCTCCTCCTTTTGCTTTAAGCCACCTGCGGATCGTTCATCATACCAGTAATGCATCTACCACCCCACGCCGTTTCTCTTGGTCTCTTTTCCGTCGACGGGGGATGATCTTCGACGCGAATGGGAGAGCCGCGACGCGACCAATGCCGCGTCCTCCTCCCCTTTACCTCCCTTGGCATGCCATATCCCACCGCCGTTTCTCTGACACCCTACCTGATATACCCCGCGCTGAGAAGCTCCCCGAGCTATGCAACCCCCCCGGTAATGTGCGCATCAATAACCTATCATATCCAACCTTCTGGATGCGGTGGTGGCGTGCATCAGCTCCCTCCCCCTCCAACACGTTCACTCCTCTCATCTCTTTCTCCCCTTCTTTCCCGCTTTCAGACGCGTCGATCTCTTCGAGCTTGCAGCTAGATACTTTTCCTGAGGGTCTTTACTATGCATACTCCTTGGAACGGATGTTATGTAAATCGAGGCTCGAAAATCGTTTTCTGATAGCGGCTCGGAAAAAATCCGATGATTTTGCGTCGGCGCACTTCTATCTAAGACGTGTTGCATGTACGAACCGGCATTGAGATCGTGAACCTTTTTTTTTATTGTAATCCGCGTATTACGATGGAGTATTGAAAAATATTAAATTTCCAAGTGACTTTGCCAGGCACGAACGCGGCATGAAAAACTTTGACGCAATTTGACAAACTTGCCCGTTACAAAGCGAGTCAAGAATAGCAATTCGCCTCGACAAACTTTTAACTATCCACGGCATACGAAAAAAAGAAAGAGTAATGAGAAAAGTAATTTTGTGATCTATTTTATATATATATATATATATGCATATATATTCAATATGATTTTCGTTGTACTATGTTGCCTAAATTTTAGTTTAATATAGTGAATTAACTAAAAGAATATTATTGAAAAAAATCTATACTATTTTCCCGTAGTTTCTTTTTCCTAAAACTTTGAAAGAAACAAATCGGAGAAACAATAAAATACAATTTTACCGTTATGTATGATATAATACATACTATAAAAATCATATGTAATTTAGGGATTAATGATTCACGTAATAACAATAAATTGGCGCAATAATTTTAAACCATTACAAAACGAAGTCCATTTATCCATAACATTTTCATCATTTTATCAGCGAAATATGTAAAGAGAAACAGCGTTGCGGGAAGAATGCTTTTATTACGCGCTAATGGAGCAACCGCTCAGCATTCTCTCTTTCTTTCCGGACGACACTTTATTAAAGTGCCATTTCGCAACAGGGACCGCGATGCATTCGCAATTTCGTTATGGTCGAAAAATCGCCCAAAAATGCTCACTTCGTTATCGCAGAAACGAGGAATCGTGCGCGTTGCGATCATCGATGCGTTTCAACGCGACGCTTCCGTTGATAACCGGCCGCCGAGATGAATATTATTTCTGATAGTACACGCGTCTACGGTAAAATTGTTAATATTATCACTTACACTCGCTAATTTCGAAATTCAAATTAAATTTAAAAAATGTTAAAAACAGAAATAATCAGTAATATCTAATTCCAGCAACAATAATTATGCAGTTACGATACAAGTCCGGTCAAATTCTTAATATTTTTTCGCACGTGTTTCTCGTATTTAATATCTAATATAACAGCTTGAGAGACCAGGTTGCGAAATCGAACACCAATGCTAGCGGAAAGTCATTTCAGCATATGATGCTGTTCCGCATCTAATTTTAGAATCGCAATTGAATCCAAATGTCGCGACGTATTCGTATCGAATACGCAATTACGAATAAATTTGCAGGAAAAGCACCCCTTCCCCGATAAAAGTTCTCCATTAAAAAATTCAATCAAATCCGCATGACAGATTTATACAATTTTAATTAAGCGAAGCAAGCACACTGCTGATGGATATTTCGGATCTATGTTAGTCTATGGATATCGGAAATATGATCAGATATTGGACTACGTTTAGAAATGTCGTTTTTGTGGACAGTGTGTGAATGCTGTCACATCACACAATGGCTGCGTTCAACAGAAAAAGCAGCTTTGCAATTGTTGTAAAATTCTTTAATATGATTGGTCTTGCCCTTAGTTCCCCATTGGATCTAAATGTATAAACCAATCGTATTCAAGAATTTTACAACAGTTGCAAAGCTGCTTTCTCTGCTGAACGCAGCCATTGCTTTTCATAAGAGACATCAGCGGCTTATGAGAGAGAAAAATTTCATTTTACCAATATAAACTATTCTTTTAACATAAAATATCTAAAACTATTTTTATATCAATTATATACTGAGAAACCTCTTTTATGAGTAATCAAATGTCATATCGACGCCATATTCATTTTGAAAAATATACAGCTATATTACTTCGTGATCTAAAAATTTCTCATTGTACAACGCGCAATTGTACAATGCATGAAAAAGTACAACGGTTTCTCAGTCTATTTTTTAATAAAGAACAGATACTTACATTATGCGTTCTAAGGATCATTTGCTTATTCACAGGATCGACCTCGCTGCGCTCGCTGGCATAACACAAGTTCGCGTAGCCGATTAACTGTAATAAAAATTAAAAAAACGTGTGATTGCATAATAAGCCTTGGCATCAAGAACGTAAAAGTCCTTTCCGTGTCGAAAAAAATTCCGAGTCATTTAAATGTAGTTCCGGTGAGAATTGGCTGGCAACTGCTAAAAACCGATTCGGCCACCGATAAAAATCTCGGAAGTGCTATAGACAAGCACTTCCGGTTTCAAACTTTCCGCGTTAAATTTAACGATAAAACCTTCCAAACTTCAATGGCATGTTTCAATCTTTGAGAGCTACTTCGACTCGATTTCACGACTTTTCACATAGCGTGCTCAGCAGAGCGAAAAAAAGAAATGCAATAGAATCGTAATTCATCAATGTTTATCATAATGTATTATAACATGATTAATAATGATGTAATAGATTAAGTAAAATTAGCTGAGCATTAATGTATGACAATATATCGTTGCTTTCAATAACATGTCATCCTATATGGTTCAATAATCCATCAAATGAAAACATTTCTCATTACATTATAATATATGTATGTATTATAATTATTCAATTATTTCACCGACTGTTATTGATATATTGCTAGATAGTATTAATAAGACATTATTTTCAGAAATTACAGTAGTATTCACGTTCAATCAGGAAAGTAACAACGAACCTTTATGGAAATACACTATGTACTCGTATCAGCATGTTATACGTACACAAGGCGAATTAAACAAACAAAGCAACATTTACACGAATAGCGTTGGACTCTATAGAAAGCGATAAGCGATTATTAATTGGTTCTACGTCAGAAGGCGCGCGCGGTAATTAATTTAACCGCCTATAGCGGACGTTTGCATTATTCTACTCTCACAGTTACGCGGGAAGCACAACAAATATCCTAAATTTATGATACCGTTTATTTAATCCTGTAAAAAAATACATCTAAGTCCTCGATCTCGATAAAACTGCAAGCTTATAAAAAATCATCAATCATAACAAACTGACATTTTTTCACGAAAAGACACTGAACCGAAAGGGATTAATCATAAAATGTTGTCAAATAAAAATAAGAGTCATCCTAGTGACAAACGATCAATCAACCAATTTTATCTCGTATTGAAATTTTTTACGCACGTTGGCAGCACAGTTTAGCGCTTCGACAGTCGCTTGCACCTACCGGCAATCGTTAGAAATAATCGGCGATAAATAATTCAAAAATGTTGAGTCTGAGACACAATTGAAAAGCATAGGCAATAGGAACACAGACAAATTTTAACCTATCAAAATTATTAAATTTTAACTTATTACACATAGAAAAATACTATTCTATTGCTAAGAAAACTAATCACCTAATTTACTTTCTTTCTTTTAAGTAACGGTTATTTTTAACAATAAATGTTTTCTTGATAATAATCTTAAAATATACTTAGTACAAATTTTAGACAAATTTATTAATATGTATTCAAAACAAAAATTGACTTTAGTCGAAGAAACGACTTTATATAATAAACAAATCGAATTTATTTTAATTTAATGTTTTAATTGAATCTTGAAATATTAAACCTTCTAGAATTCAGAATATATATTAAATAAATTTAATGCTTGTGATGAACTTATGATAGATTTGTGGATATATGAACTTTTAAAATATTTGAAACAAGTAATTATTATTTGCAGTATGCATTTTTCTGTATGCAGAAACTGTATAAGGTAATAATTTGGACAAATTAACAGAAACTTTTAAATTATTGCAATAGTATTGGTGCAATAATGTATGTTTTATATATTTGATTGAATACTCTATGCGATTTCAATCTTTAATACAATTTGAAAATTTCTATTAATCTTTTAAATTATCCCAGTTTATAACTTCATGGTATATATTGGTTTCTGATAAATTGAAATCTTATTTCCTGTTCTTATTACTCTGTTTTTCATTGTGTCTCGGGCTTAAATATATCAACAATTTTTAAGTTGCCTATTCCGCCCGAAAAGAAATATAATGCCACTCTCCGTAAGTTTCCGTGGCGACGCGATATTAATAACAAATTAGCATGAGTAATTAGGTAATTAGAAAGACGCTAATTAGACTGGCACGCTAAGTATACTTTAATTATTGTTCCTCGCCGATTAATTATGCATATTGTAATTAGTCGCTCGAATAAACCGGCCTGCTTATACGAACCCTCTACCACCAATTTAAACGTTTCGCGCGAAAGGACGCGATAAGTGAACTTTTCTCGCGTACTTTTTTTCCAGAGCGTTTCGTTGTCGAGTGCATCCGCTAATTACTCGGATAGCGTGATGGCGAGTGCAGCATCGGGAGTGTAACGTTAAAAATGGTGTCGACGAAAGTGTTGCGGTTCAAAATGGTCCTTCGCACTTTTCCCCACCCGTTAAATTATTTCGAGTGTATCTAAATATTGCAAGTTTCTGCGGCAATTGTATACGGAATATTTTATCAACAAAACTACCACATTCGATCCCATCTGCTCGATATATCCGTGTCACCTCAAAACTTTTAAACAATGTTGATGACCTGAATGTTGATGCTCTAGATTCTAGAAAGTTCTCTTTTTATAATTTTTTAATTTAAATTGTATTTACTTTTTATATTATTCAAAAAATCGACAGCTTTATCCTAATTCTTAATTGTTAAACTTTAATTATTATTTTTGCGACTCTTAATTATTTAGTATAGATATATCTATAAAACGATGAATAATGTTACAAGAAACAAAATATGTAAAGATGAAATTTCTCATTAATCTCATCAATTATTTTGACAAGCCTTTAGATCTTTTCGTAAAATAAATCTCTCTTACGAATTCTTATCGTCGGCCATGTATTGGGCAATCTCTTTATCTCCACCATTTCTTGAACAGCTTATATGTGATACTATGAGTCGAGCCATTCGAACGAGTGGTTGCACAACGAAACGGCCCGGAGAAATGGCCGAGCTTATAGAAAATCTGACGAGAGGAAGCGATTCGCCGAGCCGAAAGGGATTCGACGCCCCGGAATCTCCAGTATTCCGGCGAAGGCACCGTGGGATAGCGAAGGATTGGGAATTCGGGAGAACAGAAAGTTGCCTGAGTATTCCAGAAGGCGGGCGCGTCTGGCTGGACAATTGCCAAACGGCGTAACATTGAGCGTGCTCATTATGAAAGTTGATGTTAGAGCGAATGTTGTTTTGCAATTCCCCGAGTCCCCGGCACCTTCTTTTTGCGCACGTTTGTCGAAAGTTTCGAATTTCCGGGTCTCCACGTTGCCGCGACGGAGATTGCTAGACTGGGGTAGTGAATAGCACGAGGTTTTTGCCGACACGCCACGGGCGAAAGAGGTGAATGATTCTGTTACGTTGCTTCATAGATTGATTTCTTGTCGCTTGCCGGAGATCAGTGCAACGTCAATTTTACTGTGCGAACGACCGTGAAAAAGCTGCGTCAACCGATAAAATTACACATCAAGGTGCAATATCAATTTTTTTACGAATAATAGAAATAAAAAATCTCTGAATATAACGATGTCGTTTCTCTAAGAAATTAGTATGCAGCATTAATACTACTCTATTAATATATCTATATAAAATGATAGGAATTGATGAAGTTTTTCGAAAAGAGAGTCTCCATATAAAACATTTATGCACTAATAAAAATAAGTTACAAGCCAAGTTATACTATACATATAATATGAAGAAAAATAAAATTCATAGTAAATTACTGAACATTTACATTTCGATCTAAAATACCTTTATATGTCACATTAAAACAACTCTTCTCACAAGATTTCATTAAAATAAAACATCAACTGACATGATGATTGCGCAACCAAATAACGAATCAAATGTAACATTTTCCGCCGCGTTCGAAGTTCATCTTCTCATCAAAATATCGAGAAATTTCAAGGATAAACATAAATATACTATGTCTTTTTGACGTTAAAACTAATGCTAGACATTCTAAAAATATACAAGCAATATTAGATACCCTTTATTTTCTGAAGCTTCCCAGACAACATGTATGTCTAAAAGACGTCATAAAGACATCTTTTGAGATTTAAGGTATCTTTAGATACCTAAAAGGTATCTAAAAGGCACCTAAAAGGTACCCAAAACTCTAAAGAGATTCTAGACAACGCGTATTATCTTAATTCAAAGGCACACACAAAAATAGTCGCATAATTTTAAAATTTAAATTCCTTTAAGAAATTTATTTTAGAGTTGTTTTAGTAAGAAAAAAATTAGGAATTAAGAAATAAGAAATTTACGTATTAAAAAATACAATTGAACATATTTATACGAAAAAATTAATTGATAAAATCTAAAAATATCCATTCTAATTGTAAGTTATTTTCTTCGTATGTAGCATTAGTTCAAGTTTGTAGCAATAGTATAGTTACGTGACTTTGCGCGTGAAGAAAAAAAAAGTAAATTGTAAAGGTCTTTAAGTAATTGGCGCGAGTCAATAACTTATTCAAGCGGTACTGGCAGCGACATCGAATCACGAAGGTCTCGAGAAGGTCGTTCTGAAGAATTCGTAAACGAACCGGTTTTATCAACACGCCACGAGAGTGCGCCGAAAAAAATCGATAAACTGAGTTGTAGATAAGTTCCACGGGTATGACTGATTAGCAGTAAAAAATTGAGAACTCACGATTCAAGTTTGATGAACTGCGGACATTTACATGTATTTACATATCATACACAGACCTATACAGACACATTCTTATTACAATCTTATCATATTTGAGAAAAAATAAAGATGCGACTCAAAGAAGAATAAAAATAAAAACAAAATTAACATACATAATTAATACAAAAGAACAGCTAAAGCTAAAATTCGTGTTTTTATTTCGCTCCTTTACATTAATTGAAAACAGCTGTCGATAAGTTCTCTCTCGCAAAATTACCATCAACTCACTCTGCGTATCTCAACCAGTAAAGTCGATTTAAGCGACCTTGTAGCAGGTCGCTGCCCATGTGATTACGTATTATAATGAAAAACATGCTGGAATGTTCTTTATGATAGCATGGCTGATACTTGGACTCTTTTTATACAGTGTTTTATTTAACGCACTGAAGTATCTTGAGAATGAAACGTGTGTGTGTGTGTGTGTGTGTGTGTGTGTGTGTGTGTGTGTGAGAGATTGAAAAAAAAAGTTTCTGATGAAAGTGTAAGATAAAAAGTTAGTTGCGTAATACAAAATGCATAAATTTTTTAATAAGCGACTATGGATTTTCTTTCATCAATTGATTCATCTCATTATTCTATGTATGAAGGTAACTATTAAGGTATTTAAGATTATCAAGAAATGAATAGTTTACGAGATATTTAATATTTCATATCAATATATGTTAGAATACGTTAAAGAGTATAAAATAACTCGAAAACTATTGATTTTTTAATATCTCTCTACCTTAATACTTTTATATATAGAATAATTAAAGGAATAATATTATGTAAATAAAAATCATATAATTCCATTAAAAAAAGAGGAGATGGACCTTTATATCTTTTTGGCGTCTCCACTTAGAAAAAAACATGACCAAAATTTGTCCCCCTCGAAATCTTTCTGAAACTTTTTTCAATTCCATGTCTCATTCTTGAAATATTTTAATGTATTAATTAAAATAAACATCCTGTGTTACGTAAATGGTTACCTAAAGATTAAAGGTTGCTAAGAAATTTGAATTGAGAATTCATTCATGAATGTCTTGATAATCTTTAGGTAACTATATGTTGTGAAAACGAGCTTTAATTTTTCATTACAGATTCTTTACCAAGTCGTGTAATTAGGATACAATCTTTCCTTGTTAATTATTAACTAGCATGGTTGAATCCAAGTAATTACGGACCAAATTACAACAAAAATGTTTTTTAATAGTAGATTTGTCCGATTTCAGATTTTGAATGTATTTACATCGATAAAATATGAGATATACAAATAAAGACTTTCATTGTACGATTCTTATTATCGATTGAGCCCGTTCGAAATTCGATGCGTCATAAAAATATATAATTATTGTGGGATAAAAAATATTTCTAAATGAGTTATGTAATAGCCTTTCAATTATTTGCTCGAAATACAACCATATTTTCTGAAACCAAAACAAATCTTTAAATCGAAGATCGTTAGATCATGTGTGATTAAAAGATATATCTTTCACATTATCCACTTTATGAAACACTATAGCATTTTCTGTATTCTAGCACATTCTGCATTAATCGTAGACTAATATTTCATTTGTCGTACGACAAAGTTTTCAAACGTATTAATTGGCTACAAAATCGAGGATTTCTGAAAATTTAATAACTTCTCTATTCTACAATCAATTAAAACGCTCACTGAAAAATTTGTCGTACGACAAACGAAATATTATCTGTGTCTATAGAAGACCATACTATGGCTGCGAAACAAACTTTTTTTAGAACTATATACATAATTATAGAACTATATACATAATGGTTACGGTCCACTTGATGCTACGAATGCTTTGAAGCATTTTTTGATTGATCAGCAAAATTCTTTCTTCCGATTAGTCAATCAAAAGTTTCCAAGTATTTGTAACGCCAAGTGGACCGCACCCAATATCGGTTTGATATATCCACTTGATATCTAGACAGTAAGTATTTCGTAAAAAGACACGTGATAGCTACATGTAACTACTAGTAGTGACATCACGTTCGCGTCACCGTTGTCAGGGTCGATAATAGTAGTTTGGAATGTTACGAACGATATCGAAATAAATTAGCAAAAAAATGTATCTTCAAATATTATACAACAAAAAAAATTTCTTACAATTTCATATAAAAAAATGTTTTATTATATTTTTTTTTTAATATTTAAAGATATATTCTCATACATTTTCTATATATGTAAATATTATGTAATATACATATAAAAATTTGGTATACGAAGATAACACTTCGCCATATAATTTATTTTAATATTTGTAAAAATAATACAAAATTGGCAATTCATTTCGCAACTGCAATACGGACAGTACTGATTAAAGGTTAGAGTTGGAGGTAAGGTTAGACCTAGATATGCTAAAGCGATATTGAACGCGCGCCAATGTGACAGCACGTGGGAAAGTTATAAGACATACCGCTTGCGTCCATTTAGGAAAGCCCCATTGGGTAGAAACGACGAGTCTGTGGGTACGGAGAACACCGTTGATCACTTCTCTGTCGATGACATCCGCTCCAATAACCGAAGGCACCATAGGATTTGGATACTTTCTCCATGCAGCCTGCGCTACCGTCTCCCAAGGATGACTGCAAAATAAAATTGTCCTTATTCGAGAAGAATCGCGTCAATGCAATTCCTGAAAATTATTCGTTCGACGAAATTATCCTCTAAGTAGGACAAAGCGAAAAGAGAAAATGCCTCTTAAATTTAGGTTAAGTCGAGTCAGCTGTAATAACAGATATAAATGGGCTATTTAAACATTTTTTTTTTGCGTACAAAACATTCGCGAATTTTCGAAAATTAATTGAAAAAAATAGATAAAACCAGATTGGCTCCTTAGAGCCCTTTCCATTTTGGAGATAATCCACATTCGTTACTAGGTTACACTGTCGATAAGAAACTCACTTTTAAAACTGAGGAAGTATAACGAGGTTGAGTAACGAAAACGTGTGTTGCATTACGATTTTTACACGAGGCAAAATCTGACATTCGGGATACCTGACGAATTATACGGGGACAATTGCGTCAAGCAACGAAGCACAATGTACAACGAAGTATTCCTGTAGAGAGAATCACGTTTCATACTCACTCAAAGGTATGCTCTGACGTCCAGATTTTCATAGCGTTATGGATAGGGCGAGCGACACTGCATGTAGGGTGGGCACTGTAATTTAACGTGCGACACGTGAGCGGAATAGGCTGTCGCGATATCGGGCGTCCGCCGTTCGTCGAGCCGTCTTTGAAGATGTGTGATATAAGTGGAAATGAACCCTTTCGTGACGACAGTGTGCTCTATTTGCCCCACGATACAGCGTCCAGCCAATAGCTGGTTGTTTGCATTTAGTGTCCAACGTCATTGGTCGGTTACATATAGCGCGCCAATATCAAACGTAATCAAACGTATCGTTCGTTTATATTCCACGACATCGTACTATAACAAGGATTATAAAGTCCCGCGAATAAGTATAAGTAAACATTTGAGATTGTGATAGTAGTTAAATAATTAATTAAATATTAATAATTTTTTACCCCCCGAGAAATTATGAATGTATGAATTACTGATTAGTAGACTATCCAATACTTGATTGTTATATTGAGATGATGTATGTCATCTTGACTGAGACTTGATGAAAGAAAGAGTTTCACTGAATTTTATATTAATTTGATGTCACATTATGTGTTACTTGAATAGAACCTACTTCCAGTTGTTCAATATCAGGCTGAAAGAAAGATTGATAACAATTTTAACTTAACCTTTAGAGGACGAGCTGGTTTTCGGACTTCTATAATTTTCAATTTAATATTTTAAGATAGATGCTATAGTAAACGATTTATGAAAAATTTGAAATCGATATATCGGTTTCTCATCTGGACAATAAAATTTTTTTTTTTCAAACTCTTGTTGAAATGTTTCATTAGAATAATTTTCACACCTTTCATAATGGAATAAGTATATTATATGAAAATTTTCAAGATGGAGAGACAAGAAATACAGATGTTAATACACATCAGTACCCTGTATAATAATTATACATGCAATGAAAAAGCAAGTTGGATTTTCAAAATCCACTAATCTCTCATGTTAAATTAATTTAAATTATTAAAAGCTAATAAATTGACTTCCCATCCTCTAAAAGCTAATTTTGCTTGAACATTAAAGGTTTTTTTTTTAACAAAATAGATACAAATAAATAACAAAGACATATAAATATACATATAAATCTTATATTAATCATTTATAAATTTTGCTTTTTTTGAAAGCAATCAATACGCTGTAATAAGTAAACAGGTACCATCGTATATTCTTAGCGTAGTAGATTATTGATACCTGTAAGATAAAAGTAACGTTTATCATAAAAAATTAAATCAATAATAAATACATAGAAACAATAAAAAAATCATATCGAGTCTACTTTACAGCTTTGTGTCCGAGTTGCATTTCATGTGTAATGGCACAGCCGGTTGAGGACCTTCACATTCCAAAATCATTTTTTCAGCTGCTTTTAATGCATTATATATCGATCGAGACTTCGGTGCTTTTGCTAAATAAACCGTGCATTGTCCCAAAAGTACGTCACACTCTGGCATACCAATCATTTGACAGCCATACATTGTATGAACAGCTACACCTGAATTTTTCAAACAATTTAATTGTACTCTAAAATATATGGATATGGATATTTAATATGATATTAACATGATTGATATTAATGCTATGGGTGTTTAATCCTCATCATGTTGGTGTTGATGTTAATACTTAATAGGTTTTAAAATCGATGTTGATATAAACACCAACACAGTGAGAATTATTTAAATACTATGCATATGGGTGTTAAATTCACATCCATATTTCTTAGAGTCTAGACTATGAAATGAATATATCTCGTTTCTTTACCTAAAGCATCGGGATCTGCTAGACCAATGTCTTCACTAGATATTCTAACTAGCCGTCTTGCAATATTTACCGGATCTTCCTTAGCTGCCATAATTCTGGCTAACCAATACAGAGAAGCATTTGCCTTACCAGCTCTTATCGATTTATGAAGCGCGGAATATATGTGATGGCTCTGATTGGCTTCTTTTTCGGAGAGCATGTGTGTTTTTATTAAACCTTTTTTAATATCTTCCAGAGTTATTGTTATATTATTATTGCGTGATATTTTTGATCCATCTACTTGCCTCGCAAGCGTTGCTAATTCTAGAGCATTCAGAGCTACACGTGCATCACCATCGCATGCTCCTGCTAGCCATTGTACTGTATTATTATCAACGTGATATTTAAGTTTTGTATTGGAATGAAATTTAATCTGCTCTCTACTGTTTATCAGTTCTTTTTCTCGTACATCAAGCATCTTTCCATTTATATGCTCTAATGCCTTATGAAGAATTTCTGTTACGTTGCATTCTGTTAATTTATTTAACACAAACATACGACAGCGACTTAGTAGAGCTGGATTTAAACTGTAAAATGGATTTTCAGTGGTACATCCGATTAAAGTAAATGTTCCTGCCTCTACGTGTGGCAGAAATATATCTTGTTGAAGCTTATTGAAACAATGAATTTCATCCATAAAGACAATGGTCTTGCATCCAAATTTTGATTTGTCCTTTGCTGCGGTAACAGCATCCCTTATACTTTTTACACCAGAACTGGCTGCAGATAGATTCACAATGTGCACATTATTACTCGTTAATTTTCTGCTTAAACATGCTATTATATTCGCCAAGGACGTCTAAAACATAAATTGTAAATGATCATAATTATTATAAAGCAGCTATATAAGAATGAAGAGTAAAACTAGCTTTACCTTTCCACATCCAGGTGGACCCCAGAATATCATGCTAGGAATCTCTCCTTTCTCCAATAAATAATTTAAAACTGTGTTTGGGCCAATGATTTGTTTTTGTCCTACATAAGCCTCAATATTCGTTGGCATCATTCTTTCAGCAAGTGAAATATGTTTCAGTGTTTCTGAGGATTGTACCTTGGAATGTTCTATAAAATTATTTCCAAACATGTTGTTGATTCTGCTTGGTATTGGATCATGTATTTTAAATTTTTTCACTTGATTGTTTGCAACAAAATCTTCATTGAAAGGAAATGATCTCTTGGTTTTCGCTTCCATGTAACTCGTTTTTTTGGTTATGTTATTCTTTTCTTACATATTAAATATATATTTGCATTTGCTTGAATATTTAAACGAAGACAAATACACACTAACATTAATAAGCGAAAAGTATTACGCGAGAAATAATTTGTTTAACACAGCGAATATTAGTGCGTTGTTTTTCTAACATAAACTGATTAAATAAATCACATTATTTATCACAATCGTAAGACAACGTTTTAACACAACTTTGGCACGATGAAAGTATAAAAGTTAATGAAAGATCACAAAATTCATTAATATTTTTCATCAAATCGTGTAGAATAATTAGAAACGATTAGAAAAAAGCAAAGTGCCGCCATCTACGGCAATATAAACGTGACAACGTGTGATATCGTCGACGCCATGTAACAGCATCAATCAATAATGTCAAATTTCTCGTACTAAACTGACGATATACACTATGATGTATATTTATTGTACGAGTGACAAATAATGAATAAAGAGTAGATTTATCCGCAACCGTAAGTTCTTTGTTTGTATACTTTGTCAGGTATACTTTCTTCAACTGTGTAAAATTATAGTTGGAGCTAAAAAAAAAAAAATGTCCGTAGAATGCCTGAAATTCGATTTGACAATGACGGCGTCGGTGAGCAAGGAACAATATCGACTCGAACAAGAAGCGTTTGTTTCCAATCACGAAGGCACGACACCGCAAGCGGTGATTTTCACGCTTCTGCCAACCATATTTAGCATCATATTGGCAGCAACAACTGTGGAAGTTCTTAAGAAGTATATATACACCCACAAAAATATGAGAGTCGTCGTAGAGTTCATGTTAACCATCATTCCGACTATCTTGTGTTGTACCATACTATCGGAATACATTGGTAGCGTATGCGTGATAATAATATTGGTTTCTATACTAAACATGTCATTGGTGTTGCTAAAGAAAAGTAATGACCTCAGTTTAAATATTACTGCCGAGTACTTAAATAAGCAGCCGGGTACCGATAAAATACCGTTCATAACCAATTTTCGAGCACTGACCAACATTATTACTGCGATTTGTATATTAGCCGTCGATTTTCATATTTTTCCACGGAAATTCGCCAAAACAGAAGTGTTCGGATACAGTCTAATGGATACAGGTGTCGGATTGTTCATATTGGCGAATGCGTTGGTTGCGCCAGAAGTTCGAGACTTCTCTGCTTACCGTCAAGTGAGCTTTTTACAAACTCTAACAAGAAATATGAGTAAATGCTTCCGAAGTTGCATACCTCTCTTGATATTGGGATTCGGACGATTTGCAGTAGTCGAGTACATAGGATATCAGAAACACATCACGGAATATGGAGTTCATTGGAACTTTTTTATAACTTTAGCTATCGTCAAATTATTTACTAGCATGATTACCAGCACTATTAGCTCGAAATATTCATTACTCTCAGGCATATGGATATTATGCATGCATGAATACATTATGAACACCAAAGATTTAAAGACGTTGGTTTTACGAGACGAGCCAAGAGATGATTTTTTTTCTGCCAATCGAGAAGGCCTAATTTCTATACCCGGTTACGTAGGATTGTATTTCGTTGGTGTAGCTATTGGGAGATTTATACATTCCACATATCATTTGCACGCAACATCGAGTATAAACTTTAATATAAAACTATCTCTTTTTAAAGTGAAAGGATACTACGTTGGGCCTTTATCCTTGTTAAATTTTAAATTATTTATGATCTCTGCACTAATTTACTTTGCAATATTATTCTGTAATTTTAAGATTTCCCGAAGATTAGCCAATGCCGGATATTGCTTGTGGATAGTGGCCCTAACAACTGCACTACTTAGTTTCTTAGTGTTCATACAGTTTTTGCTAGAGCTACTGAATATAATTAGTTGGCCGTCAGACAGGGGTAACGTATGGATTAGATACAAAATGAAAATGAGTAAAAATTTGCCAGTGAATTTAAAGAAACATGTTAAGAGTGAGAAAGAAGAAAATATTGAGGATGTATATAGGAAATCTTTAGAGATTTTTGATGCTGTAAATTACAACAGCCTATTCTTTTTTCTTATCAGTAACATTATGACTGGTATTGTGAATATGTTAATGTACACATTATATGCTAAGCAATCAGTAGCTCTATTAATATTGATTATATACATGGCTGTGAATATACTTTCAGTATTAATACTTTACAGGCTCAAAATACCGATTAAACTGTGAAATATGTGTAAAAATGATAAGTCAATTTTAATAAATTTACAATGTTTGATCAAGATTTTGACGATCTTGCTGAAAACAATGGACTTCCATAAGTCCATTTGGTGTGTATAATTTATATTTAAAAATATATAATGAATTTTGTTAATAATTTTTTTATTATTGTAGTTATAAGGAAATATTATGTTATAAATGGCCAAATATAGATAATTATTAATTAAATATTATATCACATATACATATAATATTAAATATATATTATATATGTAAAATTTAATTAAAAATTAATAATTAAGAGAAAGTACTGCCAAATGTGCAACTCAGACATATCGAGATTCACACACACACACACATACACACACGCACGCACGCACGCACATGCGCACGCACACACACACACGCGCGCGCGCGCGCGTTCATTTTATTTATTAAAATAACGTATATACATTACTATAAAAATAATATAAAGAAAATATGTATAAGGAATAAAATTGATCAACAAATGTACTTTAGAACACATTCTATTATTGTACTTCATCTTGTCAATTTATTGCCTAAAAGTCCTTTTCATAATTCATCTTTGGATAATATATCCGATTTTTGTAGTCGTATTGGTTCTTTAGTATTAGAAGGTTGTACTGATTCTTCATTATCTATCGTCCTAGTATCATTTTGTATTTTACTATGAGAAGTGCTGAACTTTTTGAATGCATTATGGTGCTTTACATGATTTTTCGCAAGCGAAACGATTCTGAGGAACTCCTTAACATCGAAACTATAATTTGTAAACTTGGCGTGAGCCCCGCCATCAGGATGTGTCCCCTGTAAATTATAAATAACTGTTTAAGCATACATTTATTAATCCAAAGTTGTAAATTTAACTAAAAAAAATAGAATAAAATTTAGAATAATATATATATATAGACATATGCTCCTTTTTGCTTTGTTTCGCAGGAAATCACGAAAAAAGAAAAAAATATATTTAATTTATTATTTTAATTATTTTATTTATAAACTTTTTAATGAAGATTTTGTTCGAAATGTGCACCTCTTGCAGCAATACAAGCATTGCATCTGTCAAACACGGCTCTTGTAGCAGCCAGGCACTGTTCTTGCGATATTCTGTTCGCTGCAGCTACGATACGATTTCTCAAATGTTGCTCTGATTGAATAGGCGAAGAATAAACTTCTTGCTTCAGAGTACCCCATGCATAGAAATCTAATGGCGTTAAGTCGGGCGAACGAGTTGCCCAATGTACTGCTCCTCCACGTCCAATCCATCGTTGTGGGAATTTTCTATCTAACCAGGTTCTAGCGACTCTGCTGTAATGAGCAGGGCATCCATCTAATTGAAACCACATTTCAGTACGTTGTTGTAATGGGATGTTTTCTAAATAGTCAGAAAATTCATTCTCCAAGAAATTTAGAAAACGGTCCCCATTTAATCTTGCAGGTAAAAAAAACGGTCCCACTAAAACGTCGTTCCAAATTCCAAGCCAGACATTAACAGAAAACTCTTGCTGAAATTTGTATTCTCTAACAGACCTGGGATTTTGATGAGCCCATAATTCCTTTGATTAATTATTCCACCTCTGGTAAATGTTGCCTCATCTGACCACATTATTTTAGATGGAAATAAAATATCATTGTGGCATGTCTGAAGGTACCAGTTACAAAAGTTCAATCTGTTCCAATGATCTTGAGGTAATAAATTTTGCACTTTTTGAATGTGGTAGGGATAGCGATTATCTCCTTTTACAGTTCGCCAAATTGTTTGTGGTGACACTCCCAATACAGCCGACGCATTCCGAACGCTGGTCTCAGGATGATTGTCAAAATGTTGTAAAATACGATTCCCTGCCTGCAAATCTCTTCGTAACGCTGCTTGAAATCGGTTGTTTTCTTGTCGAATTGAAAATGTTCCAGTCTCTCGCAATCTATTAAATGTCAACATAAACACTCTTCGGTTTGGCACTCTTCTGTTTGGAAATCGTCGTGCATATTCTCGCACCGCCTTTAAAGCATTACCGTTGCAGAAACCGTATACAAAAACCATATCAGCATATTCACTATTAGAATACGTACGCGGCATATTGCAAAAGACAAAATTCATCTACTGTTAAAGGCTTTCAAAGAGCGACTGACAAATTCATAACAGAAAGTGGAAAATGTAATCAAATATGTCGGTGCTAGATATGGCAAGAAATGTAAACATTTTTTTTCGATTTCTCTGAAACGGAGCAAAAACGAGCATATGTCTATAGGACTTTTTTTCTTAGTTTTTTACTCCTCTACACGCTCCCGAAGTTTTGCCATTTAATTTGGAAACACCCTGTATACACACATATACATATGTATCTATTATAGAATTTCATTTATCACTAAATTGTTCTTTGATTATAGTAAAATTAAATTATTGAATCCTGTATTATCTTATAAGTAAAATCTATATGAACGTACCGGATCTTGTTGTACTAACTTTGATGTATCTTTCCATGTAAAATATTTTACTCCTCTCAATCGTGCAAGATCTTTGTAACAATTAGGGTCTTCGCAATTATATCTGTATAATATTAAATTTAAATATTTGAATGTATGATTATAGTATTTGCAATTATATATTTTTTAAATATAAAGAATCTTACATTTCGAATACCGCTGCCCAATCCGGCAGAAACATTAAATGTGTTAAGCCGGCGCCATGAATACCGATAAAAATATCGGAATTCCTAGTGATTTCCAACTGCTTTATGAATGGAATATTTTTGTTGTACACCACCTACACAGTAAAAAATATTTTGTATGTGTGTTAAAACTGTTCCTTGTTAAAATTTTTGTGTTGAATTTTTAACACATCTGAATATTAATTTAACATAATGTGATCATGTTATTTGAATGTTTTGCGTAAAAT